AAAAAAAAAAAAAAAAAAAATCTTTTTTGAATAATCTTGAACTGCTTGATCGTTCAGGAAAATTTCCGGCTGGTTTCTGGCCTATTTCTTTCCAGAAAGTTTACTATACTAAAAACTAAAACAATACAAATCTTCAAAGAATGCAGCAACTTGTCTTAATATGACAATACAAAATGCTGTCGTGTAATCATTTAAAAAATTTACATTATTTTTAAGCAGACCAAATGTACAAAAATTAGTTACCCCTAGTTTCTCGTGACTCAAGCTTGTAAGCAAAGGAACCCGTATTCGTAGAACATTTCTAAAAACAAGTAAATTCAGCAAAATTAGACTGATCATCCGATATTCAATGCCTCGCATACTGTTCTGATAAAGACAATATAAGCTCATACTTAGACAGAAATTAATTTTCTTAACCAGACGCTTATACAATTATAAGGAACAGGTTTTAAAAACAAAAAGCAGTTTGCAGGCAAATAAGTTTTGCAAAAAAATGAAAATCAGGAAAGAACTGACATATTCAAATGACTTTTCGCAATAAGCAAAATATTTTTTATAAAAAATTTTAAAAACACCTTCCTTCAACAAAGTTTAAGGTTTGCCCATAATTCTCCTGCACTAATAAAAGGTTGGATTTTCTTTCACTAGTAAGCCCAATAATTCACGTCTGCCTAAATACATTGTTTTTACGTAATTTTACTTAAATCAAGAAAAATTTTGGATTCTTATACCAGGCAAAAAAACATCTGTCATTTTAATCTTAAAAAGTTTACTCTATCTAACTTTCGACATCTTATTAACTGCAAAAATCTTTTTTTTTTGATAGAAAGAGATTTGACAGAAGACGGAAGTAATGCGGCACGTCAATTCTCCATCTTTATTCAGACCTCTTCTTCTCAGTTCAGGAAAATAAGAAGTTTACAGTGCGTGGAAACACAAATTTAGCTTTTCATTCGTAACAATTCCAATACCAAAAATGTTGCATTTTTACACATTATATTGTACTCTTATCTATAAAAAAGTAATAATTCATCTTGTCTCAACAGAAGAAAAAAAAGACCAACATTTTTAGAAGGGTCAACATAGATAAAGTTCGTACTTCTGGTACTCCTATACTTTTGTTTTTCTTAGTGCTTGAACAATGCTGTAGAATACGTTTCTGTGCTAATAGAACTACTGTAACTGAAGCACGACTTTTTTACGCTACCGGATCATGAAATAATCTATAATTCGAGGAGATTCATTAGTGGGTCACAGTACTCTGAAAATTAAAGAAAAATTCTCATTTCTGAAAGTTACTTCCTTAAAATGTGACATTTCTATCTCTAAGTTCAGAAATATGAATTTGCTTTTGAAAAACAGAAAAATTACTGTATCAAAAAACAGCAATAAAAAGGCTGGGGAAAATAAGCAGAAGAAACCTCTGACTGTTACACAAATTTCACATAATTGATTGGAGACAAAATTCTAATTGAAAAGATTATCATATCAACTTTTCAATAAAAAAAAAATTGTAAGTTTATTTTTTTTGGCATAGAGAAATCCAGTCAAATGGCATGGCTCTGAACACGATTCAATGATAATCGCAAGTCACACGCATTCACCGTTTTGCACAAAAATTAGAGTAACTTTTTTTATAGAAAAATTCCTACTGTGAAACCTAAGGAATTAAGTATTCAGTGGCAATACGCCAGAAGACTACGGTATACTTCGCAGTTATATTACGACTTCGATGAAGTTCAACAATAAAGGAAGAAATTGTACAGCACGTGCCGTACGTATAAGAACGCTGTAGTAGGTGGGATAAAAATAATAATAGAATGGCAAAGCAGCCGAAGAAAACACGACTGTTAAGCAATAAACTTTGGTTTTTAACCTAATTAAGGTTCTTTTTTTTAATTAAGGTTTCTTTCCTTATTAAGGTAATAACATAGGACTTACAAATAAGCAGCATCAAAGACAGCAACAACTAGAAATCACAGTGACATGTTGAATGTAGACTGATGGATCAAAAATCAAATAGTGACAGAAACTAAACAGTGGGCTATCAACTCATCACTGCAAAAATACTGGTGTACAAAAATCACACAGATAAAGTGTTTGTTTCTCGAATCAAACACAACTTGGCGTGGTCAAGACCGAGCAAAGATTCCTTAATTACCAATACTCCAATGGTTTGGCAGTGCATTTCGCAGAAAAGTTCAAAAAAAGTTCGGTTCCCGTTAGTTGTAGCTGTTTAATAACAGCGTAAAAAACTGTGAGGTTCTTCGTTGCAGCGTTGTCCATTTCTTTTCGAAAAATATTGTTTTGAGCCTTTTGCAGTAATGTTTTTTTCTTTTTCTGTCTTCTTCAGGTAATTTTTTTTCTAAATATAGATTTCTTCAAGCCAACTATTGAAAATTAATTATTCTTTGATTCTGTTTTTGTTAATGTATTTCTCGATCTTTGCAAGTGTTTGATGATGGAGGGAAAATGCACTTTTTTCATCAATTAACTCTTTTTTAGCTAAGATTTATTATGTCGTCTGCATCAGGTTTACTGGATGTAAATGTACAGACGCTGAAAGAAGGCGACGTAGTAACAAATAATGAAACAGGAAAACATTATTTTGTGAGAAAAACAGTTTTGTCGCCATCATTAGGTGGAGGGCCGCATGGACTTGGTTAGTTTTTTGCCGTTTTTTTGATGCAATTTTACGACATATAAAAGTAGGGTTTTCTTTTGTTTTAGGATAGCCATTTCCTACTTTATATTTCTTGTATTACAGAAATTTAGGTGATCCTGACGACAGAAGCCTTCGAAGATTAGAAGCAGAAGCAGTGATACCTAGATTAATGGATGAACGACTTGAAAAAGTGGAATGTCGTAGCGTCCTCAATGGTTAGGTGACTTCTAAATTAACTCGGAGTTTCTCACCATTTTCAAATTAAATTTCTGAAAAGAAAGTGACCACAACGCCGTACAATTGCTGGCACAGTATATACTTACTGTGTATCAAATTTAATTGGAATTCTTTTTTGCGTACATTTTGAATGGTTTTTCTCTCCAAGTTTCAATTCTGCCTAGTTCGATAAGACAGGTTTATAGATTTTGCCGACTGCGTTGTCAAAAATAAACATATATGGAAGGCCGGGAGATGTAAACCTTTTAAAGAAGAGTTTATGCGTTGCAAATCCGAAAAGTAAGGACTTTGGCTACTCATTTCTCCTCTAGTTGAAGATCGTATAACTAACCCGTAGTCGAAAATGGTTGTTTTGAAACAGTTGTTTTAAAATCTAAAAGTCAAACAAAATTACAGTTTTTACAGACCACCTACAAGTCGCCGGAACCCCATGAAGTTAGGAAGTTAACTTGTCAGCAAAAGTTACTGTATTTTGAGGAGTCTTGAGAAGTCTCAAGATTTAGGGAATATTCTTTGAAGAAACGTAAAGTTTCA